AGGCCAGCATGACTTTGAATAAGTAATTTACATTCGCATACCATCTTTCACCTAAGGATTTCAAAAGCCTTTGAAATAATAGTGTGTGTTATTTGACAGGTGGGAAAACTAAGGCAGAGAGAAGCAAAGTGAACTGCCTAAAGTCTTATGATGAGTTAGTTGCAGAATTAGGGATAGAATCCATGCCCCCTGATGCCTCAATGAACAGGGCCTAAGTGTCATTTTCAAAAGTGCCTCAGATATTTTTGAAAGTTTTACCCTTTATGCTTGTCATTCTCATTAACAAGGGAATCATTTCAGAATGTGACATAACAGGATAAGTTGCTCCAAGTAGTCTCCACCACACTTTTATTGGAAAAGCTATTGGGGCTGTTAATAGCAAAAAGTCACAACAAATAATTTGTACTGTAATAAATTTACAGAAAGGAAAGCAAACACCGTTACTTTCTTCTCTCCACTCCCTTCCCTCATAAAACCAGTTCATTAACACTTGGAGACTGACAGAAAAAACAACTCAACTGTCTGCAGAAAAGCAAAATTAAATCTATACATGTCAAAAATGGTCTTGTAATTTGGTTGAAGAATCTATTTTAGAGATTAATGACTCAAATTGGCAGAGGAACATGTCTTCTGATATAATTAAGGATCATTATTTAGCAAAAATCATGCCTTGATAATGATGATCCTGGCACATCCCCAAACCGTCATTCCCTCTGGGGTTATGTAAACCCTGCAGAACTGTAAACAGAACTTCAAGCACAGTTACTGATCGGAATGCAAAACAGAAGGGGAAATGACTGTTTGTTTTCTCAGCAAAGGCCAAGGAATGTAAGCCCATTTCCTCTGCACCTCTTTCCCCGCCCAGTCCTCCCCAACCTGAATCTCAGACTGCCTTGGCGATGAAGAAGAGATTTCATACCAGCTTATCTACAGAAGACTCAGCAAAGCCTCTTGATCTTTTACGGCAGGGGTTTTCAAACTTTTTTTCTGGCGACCCAGTTGAAGAAAATTGTTGATGCCCACACCCAGTGGAGCTGGGGATGAGGGATTTGGCGTGTGGGAGGGGCTCAGAGCTGGGGCAGAGGGTTGGGGTCCGGGGGTGAGGGCTGCGGGGTGGGGCCAGGTATGAGGGGTTTGGGGTACAGGAGCGGGCTCCGGGTTTGTGGGGGCTCAGGGCTGGGGCAGGGGTGCAGGAGGGGTCAGAGCTCTGGGGTGGGGCTAGGGATGAGGCATTTGGGATGCAGGAAGGGGCTCTGGGTTTGGGGGGGGTTCAGAGCTGGGGATTTGGGGCGCAGGGTTACCCCAGGGGCTCCCAGTCAGCGGCACAGCAGGGGTGTTAAGGCACACTTCCTGCCTGCCCTTGCACCGCGGACCAGACTGCGCCCCGGAAGCAGCCAGCAATAAGTCCGGCTCCTAGGCGGAGGCACAACAAGAGGCTCCCCGAGGCTCTCACCCACAAGCACCGCCCCAGACAATGGGAGTGTGGAACCAGTGCTCGGGGCGGGTGAAGCACGCAGAGCCCCGTGGCCCCCTCGCCTAGGAGCCGGACTTGCTGCTGGACGCTTCCAGGGCGCAGCATAGTGTCAGAACAGGTAGGGACTAGTCTGCCTTAGCCGGGCAGCACCACCAACAGGACTTTTAACAGTCCGGTCGGCAGTACTGACCAAAGTTGCCGCAACCCAGCACCTTACATTCCGCGACCCACTACTGGGTCACGACCCACAGTTTGAAAACCACTGTTTTAAGGGACAGCAGACAGTAGACGTTTAAATCTATTTGTTTTTTCAAGTTTCAACCTAATCCTTCACAACCTTAACAGTAGTTATGTAGAGGTTATTAGTCCCACTGAGAACTTTTAGAGATTGTCCTCCAAGAACTTCAAAGTCTTCATCATCTCTTTGGCCACATACATACAGGCAAACAAGTAGAAATACTAGTCACTTAACCTCTCTCTAAATCTAAACCTCTAAACGTAATAGGAAAAACACTGTCAAATGATGTTCTTGATACTTTCAAAGCAGTCACCATGTTAGCCTATTGTTCCTTAGTCTGGTAATCAGTAAACAGGATGCATTTAATTTATGTACATTGTTCTTGGAGAAATGTTACCATCACCAGTGCAGCTCCACCAGTGAAAGGGCTAGCACTGACAGAACACAGGTTCATAATGATGTTTTTAACACCATACTGAAATAACATTGTGGAAAAAACATTGGAGTCCCATCTTCAGCAGTGTTCCCACTACCACTATTGGTAGTGGAACCATGGGAGATTTCCCCCCGAAAGGAAGTCTTTAAACAGCCAGAGAAGACAGTAAGGCAGGTAACAGGATTCAGTCTTAACAGGCATGCTATAAAGAAAGATGGAAACATGGAGACTGAAATATTAGCATTTCATGGACTTCCGGCTGCATGTAGAAGTCCTGAGACTGCCTCTGGTCGCAGAAATATGCATCCAACCATTTATAGAGTTGCTATCTTTAATCTGGCCTGAAACTAGTCTCTATTAGCTCTGCTCCCTTTTAATCACGACTTTCTTCCATTCACACACTGTGACCTGGGGCCAAACTGCATTGAGTAAATGAATGCTGCTCAATGAAAGATTGACAGTGAAACACCTCCATGTCCCAATAAAATGACCAATTATATGGCTGTAGTACTTGAACTGAAATACTGTGCCAACAGTCTCTGGTGTCAAGAGTTCTGATTCAATGCTACATCTATATGCTGAAAATTTTAAGACCTAAATAAACAAACATCAATTTCACACCAAAACAACAATTACTGATTCAACACTCATCCTCTGAAGTGACTGGAACAAAAGAAAATAACCAGCAATATAGTTGCATATGTGATTTTTTTAAGGTCAAGCTTAACAAGAGTAAAAATGGAAGACATAAAAGTAAGGGATGAGAGACCAAACTGTAGGAGTATGGAAACTGATGGGTACAGCCTATATGACACTTTCCCTGACTCATCCAGGTGTGTTCAGGTAAAGTAGGCATCTCCATCTTTCCTCAGAGTTGCTAAGCCTTGACCGATGGTCTTTTCTCCCGCACTCTTTTAGAAATGATTTTTATATTATAATGTAAGATCTAAGATCAATAATAATTATTCTGTGTGAAGCAACAAGGTCTGACATTGGCAGACCAGGTGTCTGCTTATGCCAAGGTCCCTGTGTCTCAACTGAACTCTGACAAATACATAGCTGGCATCAGTCTGGCTCACCTACACATTAATATTGTTAAAATAGGCATTAGAATTAGAATTATTGTGTTTACTATTTAGATTTTATTGAATGCTTGTGAGTTGCTGCATGCATTAATCTCATTTATAACATCTGTAGCCCATATTGTAAGGTAATATTTGAGTGGTTGTATTGTAGGCCTCTCTGACTGTGTAAATCACCAGACAGGAGAAAGACATTAATGAGTACGAAGGGCTGATCTTCAACAGAAGATGTTATGTCCTTCCCAGCAGGAAAGGTTCATCGGCACCAGACAGGCTATTGTAGGATGTTAAAGGGGACAAAAGACATTTGTTGCTCTGCCCCCCATGAAGCTAAGTCATGAAAGTGGATTCTTCCCATCAGCTGAATTTGCAGGTCAGAGTACATGGCAAGAGGGGGATAAAAACCCCAAACAAAAGGAATTTGCTATCTCTATGCTGCCTGAGCTCCAGGGAGCAAGGTTTTTCTAGGCATAAGCAAGAGATCCCCAGCTCCTTTACTTGGGTAAGCCCTAAAGGTCATAGAAGCTTTTATTATCCATAAACTCTATATCACCTTATGAAATTTAAGATTGTAAGTCATTTGTGTACTAATGTTTACCTGCTTTACCCTTGCAAATAACAAATTTCCTTTCCCTATTTATTAAATCTTTATATAGTTTATTATAGGATTGGCCACAGAAGTGGTCTTTGGTCTGAGATCTAAGGTGCAACTGACCTGGAACAAGAGACTAGTCCTTTGGGACTGGGAGTAACCTGAAAGTAACAAGAATATTGCTGTGTTCCTTGGTGTAAGGGACCAACTATCACAAAGGTATGTTCACCTGGGTGGCAAGACAGACCCAAGGAGACTGTGAGACTCCATGTTTAGAGAGATGAAGTGCATGAGGTAATATCTTTTATTGGACCAGCTTCTCTTGGTGAGAGAGACCAACTTTCGAGTTTGAAGAAGAGCTCTGTTAAAGCTTGTCTCTCTCACCAACAGAAATTGGTCCAATAAAAGATATTACTTCACCCACCTTGTCTCTCATATCCTGGAACTAACATGGCTACAACAACATTGCATACTCCGTGTTTAGGTTATTATAGTGCCTGAGGAGCTTACCCTTAATAATTGGTTAGTGAAATCTACGCATAGATTTCATAGCCAAGTTGGGATTTGTGCCATGGTACCTAACATTCTGCCCGGAGGTTGGTACTCATGCTCTCAAGTCATTGCAGTCAGCATTACAGAAGGTACAAGGGGTGCATTTATTTTAAATATTTTGTACAGACCACACACTCTGCGATAACATGCATCTCATTTAGAATAGCAATCTTAACTGTGAACTATCTATCCTGAAGTCTTATTTGAAAGAAACCAACAGAGCTATCACAAGTAAATGAGTGACTGTTTAACCAAAAAGCAGGGATCATATTTTAAGAAAACAAACACTTCAGTTGCAAATGCAAGATATGCACCTGCAAGCAAGGAATTGTGTACACAGCACACACAATATACAAGTAAATGCGCAAAATGCAATTAATTTGCATTTAGGTCCCCCACATTCTTCAAAACTAAACCCTTAAAGTCTTTTGCCCATGACCATTAGATGACCTGAAGTGCAGAAATCAGGAGAGAAAACTATTCTGCAGCCAGTCTAAATATTCAATTTCACTGTTTTACTGCACAAATACTATTTTTTCCTACAGTAGGAGATCTCTACTGATATATCATTTAATTACAGGTTTTGTAATGAATCAAAAGAGAAATTTGTTACAATGCATCCTTACCTCAGCCTCTTTCTGCTGGAGGATTCTATCCTTGTCTACAACTTCTTCTTCAACAGGCCTACCAAACACAAACATACATCATACAGGTTTCAGAGTAGCAGCCGTGTTAGTCTGTATCCGCAAAAAGGAGAGGACAACTTGTGGCACCTTAGAGACTAACAAATTTATTTGAGCATAAGCTTTCGTGAGCTACAGCTCACTTCATCGGATGCATTCTGAAGTGAGCTGTAGCTCACAAAGGCTTATGCTCAAATAAATTTGTTAGTCTCTAAGGTGCCACAAGTCGTCCTCTCCTTTTTACACATCATACAGTGTAGGCATGGAAAAGGAAAGCATAAGACAGACATGGAAGAGAAAAAGTACACACAGTCTCTGAGAACAGATTCAAGGCTCACAGTTTGGGCTATACAGAGAGAACAAGATTGACTGCATGCTTTCTTACAAGGGAATGGATGAGAAAGTCTTGTTGCTTTAAGAAGCTATACTAAGCAGCACATTATATTGTCTAGCTCCTTCAAATTTCTTCCCAACTAGATTTCTCACTCCCATCTTCTCTTTCTCCTATTGTTTCATACAAGATATTTCCTGCACTCTCATGCCTTGTTCTTTCATTTACTGCAATTGAGACATTTTCTTTATCATCCCTCCATGGTACCACTGCAGTAATAAAACAAAGCTATGGCATAGATACAAAATGATGTCAATTTTCTTTCTTTTTGAAAATAATGGTTGGTAATTAATAAGCATTTCAAAGTAAAGCTGGGAGAGGAATAGGTTGTCTGTCATCAGGAAGATGCGACGCCAACAGATATGTTCCTCATACTAGAAAGAAACGAAGCTTGTGAAGGGCACAAAAATTTATGACAAATAAAGAAAGTGACATCAAATGGGTTTAATTAAAGAACGGTAATGAAACATGCTAAACTGAAATAAGGAAATGTGGAAAGGATGTCTATCTAGCTGTATATCCAATTATTACTGAACAAGGCAAAGTAAAATAGAAAGCTTAAATAAAATATATTCCACAAACCCTTGGCCAATGTGTCAGTCTTACACTTAAAAAGTGAAACACCATCCATCCTGAGCTTCACAGGCTGGGTCTCCGTTTAATAGCCCAGTTCCTTACGCTTATTATTTTTATAGGGACTATTAAAGGGGGGAAACCCCCACCATATTTACTATCCACTATTTCTCTATGCATTTTTAGATTAAAAATGAGGGGAGGAGGAAGGAGAAAGGGTATGCAAATGGAACCAACCAAGCCAGTAATTTGTAGCTGTGGTATTTACCTAGCTGTCATTCTTTATTAAATGATCCCTGTTAAAGTTATTTCCAGAAATTCTCTAATGGTGCACTTCAGTGCTGCATCTCAGAAAAGAATGGTGATCTAAAGGGAGAGAATGGCAGGGAAAGAGAATCTGTCCAATAGCACAAGTGAAAAATGACAGAATCAACAGAAGCAAAGCCCAAAGGAGCTCATACTCACTTGCCCGTGCGTTTTAATCTCTCCGATCGGAAGTTCTCATAGTGCAAATCTTGAGTCACTTCCTGCAGGTCCTGCATGTGTGTTCTGGAACAGGTAAAAGAATAATATTTTACATTTTTTGCCAAACCGTTAATCACCCTCTTCAATTCACGGTTTCTATTACATAAATCACTGTATTTATTTGGGACTAAATCCTAGATAGAAACAAAGGCCAAGTCCTCCACCCACAGAGTAACTGGAACATTAATACCCACACCATGGTTTGTTTGTTTGTTTGTTTTAAATGGGGCTTAAATTTCTCTCTTCCTGATAATTACCTTCAAAAACAAGAAAAATTCTGCTGTCCATCATTGTCCACTACTTCAGAGGAGATGTTTGCAGTAATCTCCAAATTGTAGTAACCCTTGCTTTTGCCTTATGTTTAGTATTAAAAAGATATTTTAGAAACTATGTCCTAAAATACAGTTTATAACTTCAGACTAGGTAGAGCTCCTCAGCAACCTCCGAGAACTTTCAGCTCTCGGAACAACATACATCGAAGCTGACCACCAGAGGGCGATCTCTGACCAGCGGAGGCTCTACTTACTGCACTAGGACTCCGCACTGAATTTCCAGTAACAGAAAAAAGAAAAGGAGTACTTGTGGCACCTTAGAGACTAACCAATTTATTTGAGCATGAAATTGGTTAGTCTCTAAGGTGCCACAAGTACTCCTTTTCTTTTTGCGAATACAGACTAACACGGCTGTTCCTCTGAAACCAGTAACAGAAAAGTTACCATAATAAACTTTCATTTAAAAAAGTTACATAGCTAAATTATACATACAAGGTATAGTCCTAAATCGGGTTTACTGTATTTAAGTGGCACTTTCTAGATTGTCAGGGCTTAAGACTTAGTCTATCCTGACCTCTATCTTTAGCGTATTTTAAAAATACAAATCAATGAGAAAAGTTTCGTCTTCCTGCTGCAACACTCTACTTAAAAGAAACCCTCAAACTTACAAGTTACACTCTGACCCATCAGCGCATGAGGGATATAAAAAGACAGAGTGGTACAAGTGAACACTATACAATGTGAATCACAGCAAACAAGGGTGAGTTTTTGACAGTGTGGAAGTAAACTAAGCACAGCAGTACAGATCAGTGAACGGGAAGAAAGGAGAGAATGATTCTCCATGAGTACACTCCTAAGTAAGTGCTACCAAACAAGGAAGAAGTTGTAACAGGTTAATTTTAAAGCACACTGCCATCATTCATCACAAAGATGTAACAGCATAGCTGTCAGCCTAATGTGAGTCAAACTGTAGACCACTCTCTCGCTGAAGATAATAAACACTTAAAAGCTTTCTGACCAAATTTAGCACTGAAAGCAAGGGAAGAACAACACTGGCTTCAGACCTGTCTAGTGCAGGTGATGTGCAAACTCCCCCTTATGTGCAACTATGCCAAAGCAACTTGATCCATACCTTCAATAGCCCTGTGCTGTTCCATTACTGGACCTCCACTGAGCAGAGAGTGCTAGTCATGTCCAATATGAATTTGGATTGACCTTAGTCCCACAAGTGCCCATCTAAGATGATGACAATATGATCAAATAAGAGAATCTCTTATGCCAAGAGTCTTTGTGAAAAAGCATTTGGCGACATATAATTCATGGAGTGAGGTGAGGGGGTGGTTATACTATTGTTATGCTATCTGAATTAAACAGATGCAACAATTCCTTTATAAAATGACAATATTAACAATGATAAATCCAAACGCACTGTCATGGGCTATGATTAGTATTTGTAATTTGTACTGAGATAAAGCCTGGAGGCCCTTAGGCCTCAGTCCCACTAGCTCTTCTGCACAGGTGGCCACTTGCACACCCAAGGAGCCATGTGCAGGACAATGGTCTACGTCTGCTACAGGAATCTTTAGGTATTATAAAGATGCCAATGAACATCTTAAAACATCCTTAAACTACACTGCATGGAAAGAAGCAAAAAAAAGTGAAACGTCAGTCTAAGTAGACTTAAACTCCATGGTATACTATAAGCCGTCTTGACCTGTGGAAAATTTTCTTTATGCTCCAAATTTTACTAATAGCTTAATTAGGCCAAGCAAGGATGCTACAGATAACCAATCAACTCTTAAAGTTAATACAAACAGCATTTTGTTAAAAACCCATCACAGGGAAGTAAGCGGCAAAGAAGTCATCACATATACTTACTTGTAATCATCACACAGTTAAATGTACAGGCTGCATTTTGTACATCATTGTTCCTTGCTATGGGCAAATGAATCCAAAAATAGAGAAAGCAAAAGCAATATGGCTAGAATGAAATGAAGTCTGTGTACATAAATGAAAAAAAATCCATCAAAGGCACCTCCTGATTCAACAGATACGTAATGCCAAAGATTAAACACATGCCTTTACTTACACCAGCATTGTGCGCAATTTAAGGAAGTCATTGTGCTCTGGATTCTCAACCTCAACCACTCCCCAAGGGTAAAGGCGACCTCGGATTTTTTTTCCTTTCACCTCAATAAGTTGGTTGGACCCAATAACAGCAAAGGGAATGCTAGCCTAGACGAGACAACCGAGCAAAAGCAACATAAGTTCTCAAGAAGCATAGAAATACATTTCAGTATTGAAGGGAAAAGGCAAAAAAAAGTTACCAAACCAATGTGACTAAACCCGTTAGCATCAGAGAACAGAACATTGCCTAATCCTATACCCTATGCTGTACATAACTCCTCAGTATTAATAACTGTAACCTTGTTGTGATCAATTTTGTCTTCACACCTGTGTAAAGGAAAATTATTTACAGGTTGTTGGTTTTTTTGTTTTCAGTTAGAACTCTTATTGTTTTAGGAGCTTTTTGCTTTTGTTGAAGCACAGGTCACGTGTGGCCTGTCATCTGACATAAATAGCCCATGGAAACTTGCCAGTTACAGTAGAAAAACAGAATAGAGAGTTAGGATGATGGATAACAGATAGCTAGAGACATTCACAGTTTAAGGCACACACTGTAAAGTGTTTATGCAATGATACCTGTAGCACAAACATGAGTGACTGAAATAAATTAAGATCTTCATTACTGATTTAGTTTTGTGAGAGGCAAGAAGTGAAGTATGACAGTCAGTCAGATACCTTTGCCTCGCTCTCCTCTGATCTTATTTCAAATTCTGGATTAAGTCAGAGGATTGGCATCTCATTCTAGCATCTAGTGGACATCTGCCTACATTTTAAAAAGTCAAAATCGAGCACCATTGGACTTCAGAGAATCCAAGACTAGAATCAAAGGGAGTACTTGCAAGGTCAAGACTGAAGTGCTTTACTACAGCTGCATGGAAGCAGTTCATGTAATATTTGGTTCTAAGGAGGACTATCATTCAGTTCTGAGAGAATAAAGTCACAAATTTTCAACAAATACATTATAACTGAATATAATATCTGTAAGAATCCTGTAGCTTTATAAAAACTAGTTAAAATAAAATGATCAGTCTTTTCAAATATCAAGTGAAGAACTCACCTTCAGAACCCTGGTCTGTTCTTTGAACTCCTCATCTTCATCAGAATCTGCATCAGGCAACTGGTAAATCCTAATGCCATGCTCAGCAATCTCATCCAGAACCTGAAGAATTGGGGAGGGGGGGAGCCCCCACAGGAGGTGCACAAATTGGAAAGAGAAAGATAACAATCAAGTTTCTATCTGGCCAGAGATCCACTATAGGTTTTAAGTAGATATCTTTGATGTACAGGTCTGCCATCCAAATTCTCTTATCCCCAGAATAGGAAATCCAGAGTATGTTTCCTACTCTTAAATACCTTGACCAAGCAACAAAGTAAGTCATTAAAACAATTTACATTTGGTCTTTGGTTTTGTATACTTACCCACCTGGTTATTACCTGAAACTGTTTTAGCTTCATTGGGAATCTGCTTCTACCTTAAAACTTCCATTGTGATACAGTGTTGTTGCAGCCGTGGTCCCAGGATATTAAGAGAGACAAGGGGGGTGAGGTAATATCCTCACCCCCCTAGTCTCTACCTTAGAACTATATATTCACATTTTATCTCCCGTCACTAAATGGAGGCTACCTGGACTTTCAGTCCACAAATAGCTTAAGAAGGACGGCACAAAAATAGGTAAGTGTCCATTTAGAGAGCAGTAGCTTGAGGTATAGGAAACTAACAATTGGGAAATAATTACACAAACTTGAGAAGGCTGGAGGAAATCCAAATTAGGCTTTGTAGGACTTTTTCACACAAATTTCATTTTAGTCTGACAAAATTATGTCTCCATACTTGAAAGCACTGAAGGGCTTTGTTAATTAATGTAGGTTCTCTTTTTGAGCAGGGTAGGAAACACACACTGATGCAGAGTGTCAGAAATAAACTGAAAAAAAGAGTTTCTGAAATTAGCTTTCACTGAATTATTTACAATTTTAAAAAGCCAAGGGCTACAAAATTACAAATGGTTAAATATGAATGACAGCTCTGCCACCTATGTCCCCATTACTCAAGGGGATCTAGATTTGGGACATCAAAGTGCATGGTGAGATATTCTCAAACTCATTTTACTGTATGTTTATATCATGCTGGCACCCAAATAAAATAATTAAGCTTAAATGTAAACAAGCTGATTCAAATAGCTTCTAAATTCAGTAGTTTATATGGTGACAGTTCACTGAATTCAAAGTTTTAATTAAAAAAAAAAAATCCTGCTGTTACCAGGCGATTAATCAATGGATTTGAACTTAACTTCAAATAATTCAGTTTATTAACATACTAAAGTTGGAACTCATCACTTGCTATGGATATTAACCTTATTAACAAAAAATAGCACTATATTCTTGCACACATCTTTACCGAGATTAAGAGAGGCATGGCACCTGCCCCAGAGAGTTTACAATCAAAGATAAACATAGGTCTTAAACACCAACAAAGAACAGGGGTATTGAAGAGACAGCAAGAAGTTAAAAATAATATTACCTATAGAACAAGCAAATCATTAACACAGTTGGAATGTATACGTACTGCCCTGCCTCTGTCTGGGAAGCAGGAGCAGACAACACACAAGTAACAGTCAATGGTAAAAAGCAAGGACCAGAAGTGGATTTTGAGGAGATATTCATTACTTACAGCTTCAAAAAATAGCAAGCACAGATCATGTGTGCGCATCCATTATATATTTTATATGCTATATATTCAAAAATGGAACAAATGCTAAATTAAGTTTTATATCACCTAATCTGTAACTGTAATTAAGTCCATGTCCCACTTAGAGGATTCTGAATTACTTTCTTTCTCCATTTTAACAGTGAAAGATATCCTCACACAATTCTCCTTATTGTAACTAATGTCTGGGATTAACAAACACTAATCTGTACTTCTGTATACATACTTTTCCTAATGAAATCACTGCAAGGGTAAACAGCTAGTTTAACTCTAGACCTCTGGCAGTGTCAAAAGGTGATATTATTTAATTTTCCCTTCAAAACAGAGGAGAACACTTCCACTGTGATCCTATAAACTATTAAAAAAAAAAAAAGCCTGAAATGAGAATTTCCTCCTTCTATAACATTGAGGAGATTCTGTTCAGATAAAAGAAAGTGTGGCTGTTCTTAGCATCACTGGAAAGAACATTTAGCTCTTCGGTGGAAAGTCAGCATTCCATCTTCAAAGTTATCTTGGATGCTCCAGACAACCCAGGAACTGTGACTGTAGAAACCACCCCTCTGGTATTCCAGTGGCTGCAGCTACACTAGCAAGTCAGTGTCTGTTTAAAATAGCAGTGCAACTCCAATGGTTAAAGCCCTAGTGTAGACCAGGCTAAGGCCTCCACGTCAAGAAAGCAAGTTTTCACAACACAGTAGTAAAGCCACTGAAGTCCTGTCCACATAAGTGTTTACACTTTAATTAGCACTGATGTAACTGCACCAGTGTTGAAATAGGTACAAAATTAGCTAGTATAGATGCAGCTACTGAGTCCACAAGAGAGCTTGCTATGGAGCCTGCATCAATATCATTTGTTCCTATGAGTTTCTGTTATAATGGTACCCAATAAATCTGTTATAGGAGAAACTCTCCCATTCTACAGTTTTTATAATCCAAGTTGAAATGACTTTTAAGCCTTTTGTTAATCCAGGGTGGGGGCTAAGGGAACACGTACAAGCGTGACCCTTGTGTATGTACCATCCCTATTCCTAGGATCTTTTCTTCCTTTGCAGAGTGTAAATCATCATTTTCAATGTAAAATATAATGAACCTGAAGTCACAGCAGCTCTGCAGTACCTACATGAAGGTCCCCATACCTGCAACCTTCTACACTTTTAGAAGAGAAAAATATGCCAAATAAACTATATGCCACATTTTAATAACAGAATCTGAATATCTAAAGGGTTATGTCTTGGGTTTCAAATTTGGAAGTAAGGTTAGTTTAGAAAAATTGAAGTACAGCTTTCAATTATTTTATTATTTTTTTATTAGAAAGGGGGATTTTAAGTAAATTTCATTTTAAGAATCAAAACTAACTCAAGTCCACAACAACAGAGCAACTAGTTAAGAGGAAAAACATTTTGATGGGGAAACGTTAACCCCATTTCAACTGAAGACAATATATATATATAACAGCAAGGGATACTAGCTTGGAGCCATATCAATCTAGAGGTTAGTACTGTTTTGCAGAATGCAACCCAACAATTTATTGGAGTTTACAGTATCCCCTAACGATGAGACATGAACAGCTGGTATAGGTGAAGCAGTACTGCAGTTTGTTGCTTCTACGTAGATGCACGGAAAAAGAAAGCACATTTAGCCTGAGTGAGATTTGAGAGATAAAAATGCAGCTGAAACAATAGAGGGAAAGCCAGCAACAAGGGGTGCTAGAATATATTACAGCTGTTAAACCTAGTGCTTTCCTGGGAGGAAAAAGAATTGCAATAAAAACAAACTGTATTTTATGGTTTCAACAATGAAACAGCATTTTGCGTCTTGAAATCTCAGTTTTATTGGCCTCAGGGGGTTCTGTGTTCCTACAGATTAGCATTCCCATGGGAAATTTAAAAAGTCAAAATACTAGTTCCCCTCTCATGAAATCATTCTTCTGAGCAGGTTTCCTTAGTGGCTTTGCATGGCACAGCTTGTGAAACCGCCTTGCAGTTCTTCCCACTCAAGAGTTACTTAAAAAAAAAAAAAAAAAAAAAACACCACAACTTTGAATTCCAGCAAGACAAAACAGGAATTACTCCAAGCTGGGTTTCCTTCACAAGGACCACAACTGATCTTTTAGCTTGGTTCAAAGAAGCAAAACAAAAACACTACCTTAGATTAATCGCCAAATGGCAGAGACATCTAAAACAATATCAAAGCTCCAGCAAAGGCAAATTTTGATTCTTATTCCTGATAAGAGATTTTGTAACTGAGATGCTTTTAGTTAGAACAATATACACTAGCTAGACTTTCAAAGCTTTGGAACCACATTACACATTTTACTTAGTTAAACCATTTGTACTGACCTTTGCCAGTAGACCAAAAATAATTAAAAGTTGTTTATCTTCTTAACCACACCATAACTGGCAACAGTTTAGGTGCCTCTTATGTTTTTATGGTAAGACCAGACATTGCTGTAATAACAATGCCCTTCAATATAAATCAAGGGTATTTTATAAGATTTGTTTATTAAAACTATGTTATGCGACAAACTGGGAAGGTTGAATTAAAATTTAGATTGATGTGAAAGGAATATGATGAAGTGAGGTTTCATCAATTTACATCCATTCATTATAGAATAGTTGTGCTAGGACTTGCCTCTATTTGCCAGTATTGCAATAAAATATATATTTACCGCGAAACCTCAATCTAACGTCACTTAGGGGTTATGCTGAAAGCCATGCAATCCAATTGAAGGAAGATCAGGAAATAGGTTTGCTTGCTGTCTGTATTTCACTGCAACTGCTGCTGGTAATACCCTCTCTGCCAGTACCTCATAATGAATGCCACATCACATGCATGCTATGTGATGCTCGACACTAAAGGGAGATCACCAAACAGTAGAGGAAAGGAGTGCTATAAAGAGAGGATGTTCAATCCAGGCTACTGACAGCAATGACTGAATGACAGTCCTAGCAACTACTGAAACTTGGTTGGCATACATCCAGCTATGTTTAAAAAGAGAGTTGTTGCTTTTGGAGAAAGGGGCATGCATGCAGAACCTCTGCTTTTATGTCAGTTTAAATTTCAGTTGAAATATAAATGGGAGCAGAATAATCATTTTAGCATTGAATCTACCTTGTAATTTCAAGGAATACTTTAACATTACACACCCAAATCTGTATTTGGGCACCCAAATTTTAACTCCTTAAGCACTCAGCCTGCTGCCAAATGCAGAACTGGAAACTTTAACTCAGGTGACAATGCCCGAAAATTGGCTCCACAGAGCTCATCTAATGGGCCAGGGTAAACATGCTGAAAAGTCAAATTAGTTTAAAGATCAAATATCGTTTACATAAAAAGGTAGCTCCCAAAGGAACATACTAAACAGATGATAAACTCCTCTCACTCACCAGCCACCCTTAGTGCACACAAGCAGGGCTAACGCTGGTGTAAGTCGTACAACCAGATATGTCTTAGAGGGTTGGTTTGTTTTTTTCTACAAAACTACAGTATTTAAAAGTCCAAAGGCTTAGACAAGACTTCTCCCCACAAGTTTCCTTTTTACTTTAATTAAAAGCAAATCTGGCTACCTAGATTTATGGAGAGTACAGTGCTATGACAGGCCATTTTGTGAGTCTCTCTCTCTCTCCCCATCAACGGTTTGGGGTTTGTAGTGACAAGGAATAGTGGTTGGATTTAGCTAACATGTGCTAGTTAAGCCTGACCTAAACTTAACCACTTTTCCTAGTCACGACAAACCCTTGGTCCATCTTACAGAGAAAACACCTGGACAAACAGATCCAGAACCCATTCTGAAGGAGTCCTGGAAAACATTCACGTAGATGCTCAAAATGCCAGTGTTCCCAACTACACAAGGAGCAAAAATTCTCCTGAATTTTTTTGTATGTTTTTAGGAGCTTTCTACTCAAACTATGGCACTGTAAAACCGACCCTAGCAGCCTACTGGCTGGAAAATCAACTCTTGGAAAGTCTTGGCAAACAGTATTAAATAAGGTAGGTAAATCTTTGAACACTGAAAGATTTACATTATCAGCTCTGTCTGGAAAACTTCCTTCTCCAGTACAGCCCTAAGTACATCCTGACATTCATGCAAACAAATAAGTGTCCTATTAAAAACTGATGCAGGGAGACATGCTTCTTTTAATAGCAATGAGGTTAGAGAACACATCTTGATAACACACTTAAAAATCACAGGGAAGTGCTGCAATAATCTTTTGGGGGACACACACTTCCCCTTGATCATTTCTACACTGTGGGCCAGATGCTCATCTGGGGTAATTTAGTGTAGTGCCAATGACTTCAGTGGAGCTGATTTACACTAGGTGACAGTTCGGTCCTATGTCTGAAATGTTCTGTGATTCAGCTAATGGTGTTCAACCTGGGTTTATTTTTATCTGGCTCCAGCCCTGTGCTGGTCCACATTTTTCTGACACTTGGGTGTTATATTTACCCTTCTCTTCAGCCTCTCTCTCTCCTTCAGTGTCAGAGTGTCAGCCTTGGCAATCACAGGGACAATGTTGACTTTTCCATGAAGAGCTTTCATGAACTCTACATCTAAAGGCTTCAGCCTACAAGAAGGAAAAAAATGCAACAAAAACAAATTAAACCTAAGGACTATTAAACATACATATTAAGTGGCAGGTATCAGGATTATTGCACTTGTACTAACAATACATAAGTAGCCCTTAATTCAAGGTATCTATGTAAACAATCTGTCTTGTATCTTTAAAGGACTTGGCGCACTTATCTATTGAGCTGCTCATGTAAGGGTTGAATTGTAATTAAGTTTCCATCTCAATAATATGCATATTACCAGCTTTTGTGTTTCTGAGAATATTTACTCCTCCGTATTAAATTCCTACCGGAATAAGACAAAGCAGGAGGAGGTCATTAAACCCAAAGCCTGTTTTAATTGAGTTGGCTAACTGACAACTTGGGAAGTAACTCCATTAACATGAAGGTTAGCCTCCAAGACAGGGAAGTTACCAAATGCATGCTAAGGATAAAACACCCTAAAATATAAGTATTTATTTTCTTACCCATGCCCAAAGGGTGATATGAAGTAAAAACAGCAGTGGACTCTGTTGTCTATAATGTGGCGCCTGTTCAGACCACTCTCGTCGTGAAGGTATCTTTCAAACTGATTGTCAATATAATGGATGATTGTTTTGAAGCTGTGGTAGGAAGAAACAGAGGCTTCTTATACAGGCTCTATGTTTTTGGTTTTTAATAATTTGTGACAGCGAAGGGAGGAGCAAAGAAGGAATGTGTGCTCTGATTAACCCTTCTGAATAGAAGGATTCAGTTTCCTAATAAGAAAAGGAGGACTTGTGGCACCTTAGAGACTAACCAATTTATTTGAGCATAAGCTTTCGTGAGCTACAGCTCACTTCATCGGATGCATGTAGCTCACGAAAGCTTATGCTCAAATAAATTGGTTAGTCTCTAAGGTGCCACAAGTACTCCTTTTCTTTTTGCGAATACAGACCAACACGGCTGCTATTCTGAAAAAAGTTTCCTAATACTGTCTCTTGTGGAGCACTTTGACGATGAATTTTAAGAACTGTTCAGTGTGTGTGATACACAACAGCCTGCCCCCTAACTACTTATCTCTGGAGCAACTTTAAATTCACTTCTGTTGGGTGAAAAGGTTAACGGCAAGTTCAGAGACAAACTCAATGGTGAGACAAGACAAAGACAGGAACATAGGGTGGGTTTTTTTGTTTGTTTGTTTTAAGCCCGCTGACAAATGGCATAGCCAGGATATCCTCTTGATTAGCAGTTTGACAACCCTGACCTTAGAATCAGGTTTCTATAGTTACCTATAAAAATTCTGGTATTTTAGTCTGCTTGAATTCAGTCTGAATATATTTGAGAGACATGTGCTCAAACATCATGTGATTTATTAAGCTATTTTTGCCACCATCCTTATGTTGGCAAATTCATACTTATCTCAAGGCAATTTAAAATATGCATTGGAAGGAAGTAATGGAATGTCAACCTACGTCTGATATGTTAACTGATACCACAAACAGTGGGTGAAAAATAAAATTATGGCTTTTTTTTAAAAAAATGCATGTACTACCAAGCAGATTTATTGTTTTTGAACACCCCAATGTGTGCTAGATGCCCCACAAAAAATTTAAAAAAAAAAAAAAAAGACACATTCCTTGCCCCTAAGTGTTAACAATTTAAATAAGTTTGGTGAGACAGCAACAAACAATGAAGAGAGGGGAGAGAGGCAAGGGAGCCCATAGGATACAAACATAAGATTAAGCAGATACTTTGTGTCATGGGTACAATTTACCATTTACTTTTTCCCCACTTAGATTAACTTTAAATGTGATTTTTCTGTTGTTGAAGGGGGAGTGGAGGTGGGGTTCGAGGAGTTAGAAAGGAAGACAACAGTGAGAAAGCAGGGAGAGACAAAGGGAGGGAGAAGTTAAGTATAAGGAGAATGAAGGTGGACAGCAAGTTGGCGGAGGGCAAAAGAGTGGGGGTTAGACAATCATTGCCTGTTGCAAATGTAGACTGTAACAGGGAGGTTTTCTTACTTTCAACCCTAAGGATCCTGAGCATCTGATCAGACTGAAGGCACAGTATAGGCACAGTATGGTGAGGTATAGCCCTTGTACACAGCCCTCTTAGCCCGTTCCACCTCTTGGAAGGACATTTTGCTACCATTGGCAAATCTGTTATAGCTGTGCAAGTGTTGGTACAAAGGGATTCTAACTTCATTCAGGTCATCCAGAAGAATAGCCCCAGGGCATATCCCCTTTCACTGTCTGCCTTACCCTCATATAGAGCTTCAACTCTGACTTAGGAGAAAGAGGGACAGAATGACACTGTCAAGATGGTGCTGTCCTCAACTATCACCCAAACATTTTTATTCCCTTTTGCTCACAGAAGCAGAAAAGATTATCTCGGTCTACATGTCTTAGCTATAACAAACAAGCATAAGGGATATAATTAGGGATGTAAAAGGTTAACTGGTAAGCAACAGTCTTATCCATTAACCCACCTTAACCCTTAACTCCGGGCTGGAGTGGGCCCAGCTGGAGCAGTCCCAGTCCCATCAGCCTCAGCCGCACCGGCCAGTGGGATCGACCCCAACCACTTAATTAACCATTTAAATGATATATTTGTAATTGTTTAAATGGTTAAATTTTTAAACGGTATTTACGTCCCAGGATAGAACTAACATCCACAGAAAAAGTTTACTGAATTGTTGGAGAATGACATCTAACCTTAAGCCTGAAAATATCATTATAACAACCTAAAACATGATATGAGGGACTGGAAGTAACCAGGGCCAAGACAGACTTCTCATTGAGAGCATTCTCCCCCACACCAGCTCAGTCACATTTTTATACACACAGAAATAGAATTAGCAGCAAGTTTTAAGCTTTTTGATTTACTGGTTAACTCTCATACATATCTGTTTACCTGGCATTTGATGGGCATTTCTTGAATGTCTTATTATTTATGTTACTGTAAAACCTAGGTTACAATAGGAGTTTCAGGTTTGTATTGAAATGCAAGCAGAAGAGACGCCTCCAATATACTGTGGTACGCCTTCAAAACTGAAACTACAGTGACCTGGAAATACATGGAAGATGTAGGCGTCTCCTTTCTTGCACAATCCACGGAGAACCCATCTGTAAACTGATACCTTCTTTAGGTCAGTCATATTTGTAACAGAATTAACATGCATATTTCTATTGTCTCTCTCATTTGTACTTCACTGGTTATATATTTTGTTGTAGGGAAAGAACGAACGAAAGAACGAACAGAATCATAGAATATCAGGGTTGGAAGGCACCTCAGGAGGTCATCTAGCCCAATCCCCTGCTCAAAGCAGGACCAATCCCCAACTAAATCATCCCAGCCAGGGCTTTCTCAAGCCTGACCTTAAAAGAGCAGAGGAGTGTCTTAAAAAATTACTTTTGTGAAACTTCAGTATTTTCTTGCTAAAACTCATTTTTAAATTCTAGCATTTGTAGTACCCAGACATGTTGAAAGAGGACAATACATTTTATGTTGCTGTTGATCTTTTAAACAAAACTCCCTTTAGCTGGTGAAAGATAATGAGATTGAAGAGACATGAATATTAGAACAGAAACCAAGTACAGTATAAACAATGGGAAAACACCCCTGGTTACAAGTGTCTCTGGCAATGTAATTCATTTACGTGCAGTTTTATAGTCCTAACTGCTGTAATTTTTCCTATAAACGTGGCATTAGTGTATGGCACCTTCTGATTTCCGGGAAACACCTGGCTTTGCACCACTATGATATCATTTTACTTAGAAGACAGCATATCCTGTACTATGTACCATAACCGCAAACAACGAAATTATTACATTAAAGAGTTCATTCGGGAAAAATGAAAAATAAACCTGAGCTGCCAAAAACCACAAATTCAGCCTCACAAAAGCCAGGAACAACAGAACTGATAACTATCAGCAAACCAGTAAACTCTACTGAAAAGTGACCTATCACATTGGGACAAAGATGAAACAAAGAAAATATACTGAATACCTGTATCTAACAAGTGAGTTGGGTTGCTGTATTGTTGTCAGCAGCCCCTTTGATGACTGTCTAGTCAAAGCCAGGACTGAGGGAGACTGCATGCAGTGCAATAAGCTGCAAAGGCTGCATTTAGTTATGTTTAGGAACTAGAGCACCCTTCTCTTGTCAGGATTCTGAAACTGCCATAAAGAATCCTCCGTCACACTTCAGATTAAGGATATATTTATAAATTACACACAAAAAACAATGTTAAAAGAGACTTAAGGTTCCAAAGTGAAGCACTCAAAAGTTAGGAAGTGCCAGAATTAAGACTGTCTACAACCTTCATTCACTCCCCTAGAGCATATGCATTATCACAGTTTTTTCCCACCAGGGGCCTACTGCATTGAGTGCACAGGATGGATTGTGCTCACTGAATGCACAGCTGTTCAGTAGTTTGTTTTATCCTCATTTGTGTGTGCATATATCATTAAAGTTCATATAAATTAAACCAGAATGTGATCAAAGACTATCAATGAATTTGTACAACAGAGTTAGATTAAGGTTCCACAGGTGTTAATCCTGGCCCTTCCTAACTTTTGAGAGCTTGACTTTCCAATCTTAATGTTCTTCCAACAAAGTTTTTTGTATGTACCTCCCAAGGTTTCTAAAATAGCAAACTAAAGAAAATACACTCCATCATATGATCACATGGGTCATCACCAGAGTTGGAGCTTTTAGATCCACAGCACAGACCTCTGCCACTTGAGCTAATGGAGTAACTAGCAGCAGTAGTAGAGTGGCATCCTCTGTGTAGACCAGTAACTAGATGAAGGTGAGATATATGCTTTGCCAGAGGGCTTCACAGACATTTGACGACACCAGAATCAGAAATCTTGGGTTCCATCCCAGGTTCTGGAGGAAAGTGATCTCTAGTAGTTGCAAACCCTTATACTCTGTAACCCCCAAGCCTGACCACCTCTGTCTTGTCCTCTCCAACCTGTGCAAATCCAGTCCCAGTCTTGTCTCTTCTCCTCCTCCAGCTCCTCAACCCAACATTATTTCCCTTCTCTTCCCCAACACACTTAATATCTGGCTCCCAGTCCAAGACCCAGTCTTCTCCCAGACTCTGTCTTACAACACCCATCTCCCTCCCCAGATTGCGATTTTTCAAAGGCTTGTAACTTCTAATTTGGGCAATTTTTCCCACAGAAACAACAAAAAGCAACCCCCCTTGCTAAATTTCAAGCCTCTGCTCAAAAGTATGGAGGACACTATGGATTCACAACAAAAATAATTATTACAGCTGTTTTTTTGTTTTTTTTAACATGGGCAAAACAATGTATTTTTTCCTAATCTGGCTCTCGGAAAGGGATGAACCCTTTTTGCTGAAACTTTCCAAAGCCTTCAACCTAAGTCATACACCTGGAATGAAAAATCTCAGCCTGAAAGGTTACAATTCGGCAAAGTTATAAGCAACTGAAAACAGGGACTTACAATAGGAAGTGTCAGGCAACCTTAAGTATAGGTGGTGCTACCAACTTCGCCTACAATAGTTTACAAAGTGACAGTAGATGTCATAAGCATGAATAGCATGCATTATAGATGTTAAAAGGACTTTAGTCGAAGGTGCTACACATGGTTATAAATCAACTTTATAAGCACCAATTGGACTAAATCTGTAACAATTAGTCATTTATTAAAACATTAACGTTTTATAAATGTAGCCTTTGTATAAAGTGTCACCAAATCCTCTTCATATTCCTTACAAAAATCCCATATGTCCTCTATGATGAGGGATGCTACATGTTTCCTCCACATCTCCCACGCACTTTGGCATAGCAAATCTGCTGTGCATTCCTGACCTTCCATCGCTAAGACCCATGTTATCATCCAGATATGCCTCAATCAAGCCACTGGTAGCAGCAGCAGCCACAACAATGCCACACTCCAGAACCAGAATGGTCATTCACATCCAACTACAGGGTTACATTAGACTAAAAGAATGCCACCCTACATGAGATCCAATCTCCTCTTACAGCTGTTTAAAAATGCTTTGCAAACACCACTAACATGCACATTTCAGAAATAAATTTATAGAAGTGGGAGAATATCTATTTTCTTATTCATTTCCCCCACCTCCTAGGGCTGCCCTTTCCTGTCCACAGGCTGCTACTGACTACCTCCTCCCAACTCCCACTAATTGTCATTGTTCCTCCTAGGATGGGAAACACATATAACATGTCCCAGTCTTGCTCTTTGAAATACAAACTCTTGAATTTGTCCCTTCAGTGAATCCAAGGGCAGAAAGCAGAGGCAGTTGGGTGGGATACCTAGTCAAGAAGATACAGTGTATTATTGCTAGAATGTTAATATTACCCATGTGGCAGAAATCTCATGCTACTTTGCTGACTTTCATTGCATCTCATACAACCATTCAATACTAGCTGCCCTAGTGAAGACTTTCTGAAAAGGCCAAAGGACATCCTGTGTGCTCTGACTACCATTCCTTCTGTCACAATGAAACAAGTTTTAATGGCCAAAGTGGTTGGTGAGCTATTTCTACAAAGGATACTGTTTCCTTGTGTGTGTGCACAACCATTTATAAAGATTCTGTACTTAGAATCATAGAATCATAGAATATCAGGGTTGGAAGGGACCTCAGTAGGTCATCTAGTCCAACCCCCTGCTCAAAGCAGGACCAATCCCCAACTAAATCATCCCAGCCAGGGCTTTGTCAAGCCTGACCTTAAAAATCTCTAAGGAAGGAGATTCCACCACCTCCTTAGGTAACCGATTCCAGTGCTTCACCACCCTCCTAGTGGAAAAGGTTTTCCTAATATCCAACCTAAACCTCCCCCACTGCAACTTGAAACCATTACTCCTTGTTCTGTTATCTGCTACCACAGAGAACAGTCTAGATCCATCCTCTTTGGAACCCCCTTTCAGGTAGTTGAAAGCAGTTATCAAATCCCCCCTCATTCTTCTCTTCTGCAGTCTAAATAATCCCAGTACCCTCAGCCTCTCCTCATAAATCATGTGCTCCAGCCCCCTAATCATTTTTGTTGCCCTCTGCTGGACACTCTCCAATTTTTCCACATCCTTCTTGCATGTGGGACCCAAAACTGGACACAGTACTCCAGATGAGGCCTCACCAATGCCGAATAGAGGGGAATGATCACGTCCCTTGATCTGCTGGCAATGCTCCTACTTAAACAGCCCAAAATGCCGTTAGCCTTCTTGGCAACAAGGGCACACTGTTGACACATATCCAGCTTCTCATCCACTGTAACCCCTAGGTCCTTTTCTGCAGAACTGCTGCCTTGCCACTCGCTCCCTAGATAGGACAAGACAGATTTTTAAAAATTTACTATGGAGGGATGGGGGACAGGGAAAAAAATTAGACATGAGAATTCACTGTGTACATCTTCCAAAAGATACACAAGTGCTATTTTGCAGGAAAATTGTTTCTATCATATACTCTGAAGTCACTGCTTGTGTTCTGAGAATTTACACTGGAAACCTAGTACAGAATTTTATACTAAGTTATTCAGATGTGTCTGACTCCCCATGAAATTAGCTTGCTTAAAAAGCCTGCACTGAGAAAAGGAGGGGCGGGGGAGAATCTGAACATGTAAGTCTCCCAGAAACATCTTAATAGAATAAACAAGGGCATTAGAACACAATCAACAGGAAGGTCTCATTGTAACACAATACACTGGCTTAACAGCTCTTAATTCCAGCGAAAGGAAGCTCAAATCAACATTACTGACAATGAGCAAGACTGCACTGCAGTCCAAAAAGATATTTTACAGTTATTCAGAAGTTTCTGTTTTAATTAGTTTAACAACATAGACTGAGGACAAGGAAGCTGAAGATACAATTACCGCTACCACCACACTTTTGACCCTTCATCCAGGGAATTTCAAGCACGTGTAAGAGACATGGTAAAAGAAGCTAATCACTCCCATTTCAGAGTGGTCTTCTTGCAAAGCACTCCATAGACAGGAAAAAATAAACCCGTTTGCCAACAATATTCTTCACCATTATCTCAAATTTTGTCCGATGTACACCACAAGATTTTGAAATGTGGTGTTTGTTAATTGTAGTTATATCAGCTGTTTATCCCCTGCACAAAAGCTTGATTTTATGACTATTTATTTCCAGTGGCATAATATGTAAATAAGTCATCTGCTTATTTAAGGTTTCTTTTCTCTGTTTAGTGCTGCTTCCTTACAATAAAAACAAATAGCTGAGAGAAATGAATTTTACCAGGGATTCTTAGCCTCCAGTTGTATAGGATGTATAAATAATCGAGAGTCCCCAGTTGGCACGCCGCTCACCAGTGCCAGTATATTGCATTTTCATTTAAAACCCAGCTACCACAGGGGTAGTCTTCCTTCTTTAAAAATAGAATGGAGCTATCCTTCCTTTCTTAATCAAAATGCGTAAGTAGCGCCCTACCAAATTCACAGCCATGAAAAATGCATCACGGATGTGAAATCCGGTCTCCCCACATGAAATCTGGTCTTGTGTGTGCTTTTACGTTATACTATACAGATTTCACGGGGGAGACCAGCATTTCTCAAATTGGGGGTCCCGACCCAAAAGGGAGTTGAAGGAGGGGGTCACAAGGGTATTTTAGGGGGTTGAAATATTGCCACCCTTACTTCAGCTGCCCAGCTCTGAAGGCAGCACAGGAGAGTGGTGGCTGGTGGCTTGAAGCCCAGCTATGAAGGCAGAACTTCCACCACCTGCAGCGCAGAAGTAAGGATGGCATAGTACGGTATTGCCTCCCTTACTTCTGTGCTGCTGCAGCTGCAGAAGTAAGGGTAGCAGTACCGCAACCCCCGCTACAATAACCTTGCGACCCCTCCCACAATTCCTTTTTGGGTCAGGATCCCTACAATTACAACACAGCGAAATTTCAGATTTAAATAGCTGAAATCATGAAATTTACAATTTTTAAAATTGAACAAAATGGACCGTGAATTTTGTAGGATCCTATGCATAAGTCTAAATTAGCAAGCTGTACAGAAAGACTTCCATCACTACAAAATGACTGTATTTATATCCTAGAGATTAATTTGACTGTATAATTCCAACCAACTTCATTTGGAGTCACATCAGGGAAGAATTTGGTCCATAATTCAGAGATTTTTTTTTAATCTATTATGGAATGTTTTTGCAGTGGGGAGGCAGGAAATAAAGGACAAATATTCTACTCAAACTTGATTTATACTTGAATCCGGTGCTATTGAAGTTATTTGGGTAAATAAGAATCCAAAACTAAGCTAAATGCTGATTAACTAAACCAGTTTCAACCACATGGCTACAGCTCCCTTCTAGCACCTCTCTCAATGTAGGGAGCCCTTGACCCTCCTTCTACAACCCCCCCACATTTGTCACCTTTCCCCTGTCCCACCATTCCCACACTTCAGATTCTGTATTTGCCAAACATCAGAGAAACTATCTGGAAGAAGATTCCTATGAAAAAGAACAAAGTATGAGAAATTTACGGACTATTTTTATAAGTATTTTCTTTCCAAATAAATATGGACGGAGTAGGAAGACAATCTCTACTGTGATACCTAGATAACAATATATTGCTATTAAAAAAAACAACAATGAAGTGGTTGCTTCCCTTTGCATGTCACAAAATACAGGAATAATACACACTGTTCTCCAAAGACCACTCCCATCCACTGAATCACCAAGACACATATAAAAAGGAGAGAACAAAACACTAGGATTAACATATACATATAACACCATAAGCAGAGATGGATTTAAAGATTCATCCCGGTGGCTAAAACAGACATACCAGTCCTGGCTGTTAATGGCATCGCCATATCCTGGTGTATCAACTACTGTTAAACGGAGTTTCACCCCTCGCTCCTCAATCTCTACTGTAGAAGCTTCGATTTGGACTGTTCTCTCTATTTTCTCTATAATAAAAGAATGTTTTAAACATTAGTATTTCTCTTGTTCAACCCCACAGATGCCCATGTACCAGATTTATTTAAAGTGTATTGTAACCAGTTACACCTCCACCGCTACGTAATGCAGAATCCTTCAGAAAAACATGCCAAATAAACTAATAGAAGTGCAACTACAATCTATGATTAACTGAAATACCCAGAACATAATGAGTGGAGAAACACACATGTAATTATGCTGTGATTATCATTTTTTAATGTTTTATTTTTATAACTTTAAGAAGTGTGCTAGGTTCTTTACAGACAGGGAGTTCTTTGTCCTAAGGCGTTTATAATCTAGATTTTAGACATGACCACTGCAAGGTAACAATCAGCTGGAGGAAGTGGGGATTACAGTAGAATCACATGGTCAGTTTAGGCATATAGACATCTTATGGAGTTTGGGGGTTTGTTTATACTCGTAGTAACAGCAGAAGTGAGTTTGTAGGAGGGAGACATCAAACCTTAAATTATGAGAACAGAGTGGCTTAACCAACAGTGATTCGGAGTGCTGTTCCATGCATCAATGGCATGGAAGCAAAACGAAGTGGGCTTCATGGCTGAAGTCATTGTCAGAATGGAGGAATAATGGTGGGGAGGATGTGAAAGGAAACAAGGTTGGAGGTGTGTGCTTGGACTGAATGATGTAGGGCCTTAAATAAGAACACAGTCAAATTTACCTGCAGCTCCAGGAATGTAACGTTCTGGATAAAGATCAGTCAGGAATAAACTGTTAATTAAGGTGGATTTTCCCAAACCAGATTCTCCTGCAAACAAGATCATTTCAAGTAATTAAATACCTTCATCTTCCTTATCAGCCTCCCTGTAACCCCTACAAGCCTATGTAGTGGAGTAAAAATAATTTGTTCAGCCAGGGTCCACCCTATCTTTTAAGATAAAAAGATCAGAGACTCAGCTAAGCAATGCTAAAGAAAAAAGAAAAAAGAAAAAACAAATCTTTGGTGTTTGCTTACATATACGAACGCATGAAAATTCTAAATGTACTTGATTACATTTAACAGTGCAAGCAAAAATGTCACAACTGCAATGATCACATATATAAAAATACCCCCTTTACATCACAGCACTTCCAAGTCTTGAATCAAAACAGTGGCAAAGTCTTCAAACCTTTTCTCTTTTACTTATGAAATCAGAAGCCATGACATTCGAATTCACGTTTTTGTAAGTTTTGAGGTTTTCTTAAGCTAGAGATGTAAATCAGCTTTATTTTTTAAAACCGCTGTAGCACTTCAATGTAGACACTACATTTCGCTGATGGGAGTGGTTCTCCCATCAGCGTAGATAATCTGTCTCCTAAAGAGGTGGTAGCTGGTCAATGTAAGAATTCTTTCATCATCCTAGCACTGTCTACACTGAGGATTAGGTTGGCTTAACTACACCACTCAGGGAAGGAAACAGCTACATGGCTCAAGGGTTGAAAAATCCTAAGTCAACCTAACTTTTTAGTGTAGACCAGGCCCAGGTTAAGCACAACTGGCAACCAAGTTTAGCATCCTTGCATTCAGACTATATTTATTCTACATAGCAAGAACTAAAGAAAGCCACTGAGAATCTTTTAATCTTCACTTGGAAAGTTTTATAATTCTAAAAGTTTACGATCACTTTAATTTACCTGAAACTCCCTAAAACTGGCATGTGGAGTTTGCAAGTTCATCTTTGCTACATAAATTGTTTCAGGAAGCTAAAGTGATCTGTAATGGTCATGTATATTATATACCAATAAACATTTAACATTTAAGAAAAAGAAAACCCTAACATAAGCTGTCTACGCTTCAGTTGATGTTGCTAACCTAGTTTTAGATGAGCAAATCTTGTATTTGTCATCAAGAACTACAAGACATAAGAAGTTCTACAGTGATCAACAACCACAAGTAGGAGACAACTGCTGAAACTAATTTATTGTATAATCTTTGGTCAATGCTACAGCTGTCAGCACACAGGCTGTTTTAAGACGTTACATATGGTACTTCGTGATAAAGATGCGATTTCCTTTCTCCTACTAATTTCTCAATAATATGTAATATTAAGGCAAGTATCTCAAAAAGCTTCTTAACGAAAGGAGAGTAATTTGGGTTTTATAAAAGCAATTGTAGGGTTTTTGCTTAACTAAAAGGTGAAAATACCAATATAACTCAACAAGCCACTTTTAAATTACTTTGCACTTAAAAGTTCCTTCCACTTAGACAACACCAATTTCATATGGGGAAATTTAATCAGAGACATTACCCTTAACGTCACACAGTGAGTCAGGGCGGAAGCAAGAGAAGAGCTAGGAATAGAATCCCCATTTCAACGGCGAGACATCACTGTGCACGCACATCCCCATTTTCAGATGGGGAAACGGGTCAAAGCCGGTTAAGTGACTACCACTAACGTCAAACAATGAGTTGGGGGTAGAAACACTAGAAGAGGCAGGAACAGAAACCTGAATCCTTGGCGCTGAGCCATGCTCTAACCACTACAGCATGCTCCCTCCCAAACAACTTCACAAAATAGGCAGAATTTAATTTGACAGCATACACTAGTTAAAGTCTTTGTTCTTCAGTACACCAAATACAGTAGTTAATTAAGAACAGGTGCATACTTAAGGCTTGTCTAAATGAACAGTTAGTGCGCAGCAAGTTGGGGTATAAATCTACCCCCCACACTACCTTGGCCAGATGCTAAGTGTCAGTGAGGACCCTGCTGACTGGTTCTAGCAGTTCCTTAGCATGCTTTGATCTACCCCGCTTTGAAACAGGAGTAAATCAAAGCACACCAAGAAACTGTTAGTATGTGTCAGCAGGGTCAACATGGCTACCTAGAGTGAGTGGCTAGCTTTATTGTGAGGTAGATTTACACCTCAGCTTGCAGCAAACTAGATGTTGCTGTAGACAAGCCCCTGATGTGCAAGACAATATATTTTAACACTCAAGCAATTAAAGAAAACCACCTACCAACCACCATTAGAGTGAATTCAAAGCCCTTCTTTACAGACTTCCTGTGGACCTGGTTGGGCAGATTAGCAAATCCCACATAGCCTGCTGAGTCAGAAAACTGGAAAGAAAAACAAAATTGAATACAAGTAAAAAAATACAAATAAACTGCACAAAGAAAGATAGAGAATCAACCAGTTACCTGGCAGCGTAGCAAGACAGCCCTTGGAACAACCCCTCCCAACCCTTCCTTCCCCAAGAAGTCTTTGAGAGAAGTAAAGATTCCATAGGTGCTGCGGTACATACTTGAGCAAAAGGCTCTTCCTGGACAACATTGACCGTATGCCCGCAAGAAAACACTGCCATTAACATGAAACCATAAGAAGCAACAGGTAGCCCTGTTTGAGACTGTCAATGGGCTTGCCTGCCCCCAGGGACCCCCTGCTGGCCAAGCATGGCTCTGCTAAGGCCTGCTTCACTATCCCCTTCACTTCAGATCCCTTTAAAAACCCACAGTACCCAGATATTCAAAACATTCCCTTTCTGGAGTCCAGTGTATTAGGTCCTGAACAAAGTCAATCAAAATAGACCTCCAATCTACAAAATCTTCATCCCAGTTTGAGCTGGGCCCAGACCCTTCTTCTGAAGGGTCAGTCCTCCTTTGAAGTTAATTTCTTTCACCTCAGTCCCAAACTGGGCACAGCCCTTCCTACCTGAGGATCTGTCTTCCTGATTTCCCAGCACCTCTTGCCTGGAGGTTTTGTTTTCTCAGAAGGCAGAGGGCCTATGGACTCAGGGCCCTTCAAGGGCCTTCGAATTCCCCACAATGCCTACAAGCATCTGCCAAACCCACCAGCAGCTGTCTCGCCCTGTATAAGGCTCAAGCCCCTGCCCTTAAGCCCAATTTCACAGCAGGCAATCAGCCCAAGTACATTGGACTCTGCTCCTCTTTTTTTTTTTTTTTTACAGGGGCAGTCCCCATGTGGCAATGACAGAGTTAAAGGTGACTCTTTCATTGAGGTATGTTAAAAAGTTAATGAAAGATTTAAATCATAAGCAATCTTAAAATCACTGACATTTACAAATTGAAAAGTTATTAGAAATAGGCTCTCCTGATATAGGCTAAATATAGTGAATTTCAGCACCTAAGAATGCCTGTGTACACATGCAGAGGAAAAACATTTCTGTAAATATATGTAGAAACACAAGCACACTCGGTAGTAATGCACAGAGTATTGAGTTTATCATCACCTCCCAAGATGCAACTACAGTCACATAAGTGAACAAGTTAGTAATACAGCTGAACATAAAGCTCCAAAGTTCACAGTGCTAAATCTTTGACACAAAAGGAAGATACAGAAATGTACCTGAAAAAGTATCTGATAGATTTGGGCCATAAAAATAACAGTCTACTTCATTCTGTTATGAACTGACCCAATATCTATTTTAGGCCTAAACAAGAATTGCAGCCACTTGAATTCTGGGCTCTCTGAGCTTATTGATAGCAACAAACATTTATTCAAGACAGACACAGGAGTTTAACATGAAAGATAGACTTTTAATAAAATGATATACCGCAAATACTCCTGAACTAAAATCACTCACCAAAGGGCAGTTATTTTACTTGCAAACAAGCCTTTTACAACTCACCCAGATGGGAAAAATCTTAAATTGTAACTTATACCCAATTAAGAATTTTGCATGAAGTACATAAATACAAGAATACCAGATAAAGGAAGACTGGCTAACCTATTGAAACTATATTACTAGGATTACATACAAATTTGTTTTTCAGTAAATTTAAGAAATATATTTGAGCTAATAAATTTAGTTGGAATGTTTAACTACTTCAGTGAAAACATGAGTATTTTCAAAGGTTCAAAAGAATTATACACCACATTTGTATTATGCAGGCTTCTCTTTACCTTTACTTTTTCACCTGACTGAGACATGTTCCGTCACTGCAAGATTCAGAACCTAGAAAACAAGACCTTTGTTAGCAGTACTATAGATTAGATTCATCACAAGTTTAAGCACATGACCAAGAATGGTTACCTATCACATATTTATTATAATATGCCAAAGGAAAATTAACATGGTTTTCCTCAACATATAGGGAGCAGTCTAGTAATGAATTATTCTGTATATGATTCTGTAGATTTAGTCACTTAGTAGCTGCAATAAGGATAATACAGTTTACCAAATGAAGCTATTCAAATAACGGGGTTAAAATCATCACAAAACAAAATCCTTCACTTTAAATGTTATGAATAAGCAATTGTAAATTAAGATTTGAACACACGAAATTTTTTAAATCTAGTTAATTAGATCTCTGTATCCTTACATTACTTTTGCTTCTTTAAGTAGGGGACAGATGCATCTTACTGAATCTGAGGACGTACAGTGCCAGTACAGTACAGACGTAATTTTTAGTTTGTTTTGGTTCAACAGTTTTCTAATAATGCCCTGACACTCCCATACACTTTCCCTCCTTACCCCGCCATGAATCATTTCCTCCCCTTTTTCTTCTCACAGCTGAAAAATGCCTTCCTCACCTCACAGGAGTAATTTACATATAGCCAAATGGATTTTAGTGAATTTTCATTACAAAATTCCCAAACTTCTCATCTGAAAGCGCACAGAAGTTTCTCCAGAAAACCAAAATACCCACAGACTCTGAGGGTGACAGAAGTGACTGAAAATAGTATTCTAAACGTAAATGTCATCTCTAAACACTAACACCACACTGAATGCGAGAGAAGCCTGGAATTTGGTTAATACCCACTGGAAATGAAAATTCACCACAATGTTAATGTGTATGTCAAAAGTATCTGCATTTCAACACCAGCTAGCTATCTGGAAGAGCCCTCTCTTTCAGTGCCCTCACACATCTCCACATTTGAAAAATACTAGCTGTGTTATACAGACTAACGGTCCATTTTATTCAGAACAGCTACATAACACTGAAAGGAAATGGAGGGGGGAAGGAATACTTCACAGCTTGACTTGTTGACAACACAGCTCTTGGCTGAGAAAGGGGGGAAGTGACCTATGCAGACACCTGTGCACTCAGAAAACAGATGCTTCCCTAATGCTTAGTAGTAGCTACTCTAGCCAGCAGGATGTGGCACAACTTTAGATGCAACTGCTCAGCCAAATCCTAATATAAAAACTTGGTCACTTAGCTCTGCAAATACAAGTTAACAGTAATTGCAACTTGGAGTTTAGAGGAAAATGTATTCACAGCCGATGTCGTTTTTAGTTTGTCCAGAAGCAAAAGTTTCAAATTTCCTGCTGGCTGTATAGACTACAGCCAACCTGTAAGCAAGGTCAGCTCAGCGTCTTCCCTCCTCCACCAACCTCCTTATGTATCCAGTTTGTTTGTCTGGCACAGCCATTGGTTAAGAAATATTAGTCTTGTTTCTATGACACTTCTGAGTGTCTCTAACTAGGCATCCCCACATTGTGATTCCCAAGTTGTTTTAAGTATGATTTTGTAGCAGTGGAGTTTGTTTTTATGACTCAACACACTAGGAGTTGGGTTTCCAGCCAGCCAATATTATGGATCCGCAAAGATGGCATTGATAAAGATTTCATTCCCTAGTCACAACTTAACCTACAGATGCAACTGCTTGCCCAAGTTTTGTTTCTATATTTGGAAATGTCTGTTGTCATCTTTCCCTTGAAACTAACAACGTACTTCATAATTAAAGTGGACTAGAACACCGCCACTGTTACAAGTGACATTTTAGTACAAGCCAAAATTACTAGTTTGGAAAACGGAGGAGCTAAAATTATTAAGCTCCCCTGCACGTGTACATCTGGCTCACAGAAACTAGCTTCTCACAGAACAAGGTTTACAATAAATAATAATTTTCCTGAAAAAGGGAACACACTGGTGTTTTTCTTTTTCTGCCTTTCCCCAGTCCTCTGAAATTTTAACTCTCTCAACAGGGAGCTGGATGTCTCCAGGGATTGGTAACAGGACAGTGAGCGTATTACCTCCTGATTTTCAGTTCAAACCCAACCTAACTTCATAGTGACTGAAAGGCTCAGGAAGAATGACTCTACAGTAGAGCCTCAGAGTTACGAACTGACCAGTCAACCACACACCTCATTTGGAGCCAGAAGTACACAATCAGGCAGCAGCAGAGACAAGAAATAAACAACATACAGTACACTGCTGAGTTAAATGTAAACTACTAAAAAAAGGGAAGGTTTAAAAAAACACATTTGACAAGGCAAGGATACTGTTTCTGTACTTGTTTCATTTAAATTAAGATGATTAAAAGCAGCATTTTTCTTCTGCATAGTAAAGTTTCAAAGCTGTATTAAGTCAATGTTCAGTTGTAAACTTTTGAAGGAACCACCAAAACGTTTTGTTCAAATTTAGGAACAACCTCTACTCCCAAGGTATTCATAACTCTGAGGTTCTACTGTATCGGAATTGAGTTGGTGGTCTCAGTTCACTTCTTAGGGGCCAAACACGCATGTCTCAAAAGCCAGCCAAGTAGAAGTCTAAGCAGAGAAGTCTGGGTTGAATAGGAATGAAGATAGAACACCCTCTATTCCTTCACTCTTTGAAATGATCTCTCCAGATAATGACTGACACTGAGGCCTACTATACTCTACCTACTGCACATTAAAAACAATCTCTGGGGCTGTTGAATAGGCAAGCCCCTTTTACCCACACTAAAATTCCCTTATTACTTTTTAAGTTTTAATCTGGAGATACCCATTTCAGTCACTGCAGTTCATAAACAGTACATTGTATACTTCTGAGTGAATATTCCTATAGCTTACAATTTTTGTTCCCATTTATAATGAAGAAAATTCTTGTAATACACGATAAGCACAATTTCCCCAAAAAAGTGGTGCAGTTTTGAAGCAAAGCTACCTTAGCTATTCAAATTACTGATACGTTTGTACTTTCCATTAGATCCTATTATACAACTAATATTTGCCTTGCACCCTACTCTGATCAAAAGCTCATAATATCCGAGTCTGTGAAAGAACAACTGCTGATCACATCTTAAGAGTTTGCTTAACAGTCTTGACAACACTAATATCTAGTCAGTTACTTTCTCTAGTATTTTGCTATACCTAGCATATGAAAGGAGGAATAATTAAACAAGTTCTATTCCTTATCACATGCACAATTCTTCAATAATAGTTTATAATTGTTTATATTATGCAACATAAGATGAACACTTTTGCAATGAAGAATGTTTCAGGAAGAATTTGGATTCCAGTTATAAACCAATGAATCAATGACTTTACAAAACTTATCAAACCCAAGTGATTTAAAAGAATCCCTTAATATGCCAACAAAATACGCAAAAGCAAACAACTTTATTAGTCACATGATACAAATTAACTTTAAAGGTCCCTAACATTCTATCCACATTGCCACTGAGGTACTGTCATTTAAAATACTATTTTACCATATTAAAAAAAAAATCACTCCAGACATATTTCTAGGAAATTATTACTCTACGATGGTTAAAGTAATTTCAGCTTTTGACCTTGTGGATCATAACATTGCCTGAATGGTATGGTCATCTAGAAATTAATTCAATCCAATGACAATTAGCTGGACATCAATAGGCTTTCAGAAATATTATTGGATCCTTTGCCCCATTACTGCAAAGCAAAACTAAAAAGAAACCAGTTTAAAACTGTCTGAACATTAAGTTAATAGTAACGAAAACTAGAGAGAAGAATGGATTAGGAGAAAGTCTTTCACGTTTCTTTATAGCACCAAATCACAGTAGTACTGAAGCACTGTGTCAGAGTAGATTAGTAATAAAGATGGGACAGACTGTAGTAAATAATAATGACTAACAAACTACTATTATCTGCATGCACTCACCTGAGTCGCACAATAAAATATGACTAAAAGAAATCAGTTTGATCAGGTGGGAAACCGTGCCATGTATAGAAACACTACAGTATGAACTTTCACCAACACTTGGTAATAAAATTAGTGAAAACAATTTTAATTCAAAGCAAACATATCATATTATGGCAGAAGGCATTCAAAGACCCACCTCAAGTGTCAGAAGACAAGCAAAGCAACATGTACAAATGAAGGAAATTATAAAGATAAGTACACTTGAATTAATAAGACACATTAAGCAGTCTAACTCCTGCTTTTACATTTTTTACCCTTCTAGCACAACAGAAATTGAATACAACTGAATTTCATTTACAAGGTTTCATTTTACAAAAGCAAGATGGACTTTTGAAAGTAATTTCCTCTGTGCATAGGTATATTGAGCTACATTACATAAATAAATGTATTTTCACTCAGCAAGTATGCTTTCTGAACTGCATGTTCTGTACTAATGCCTATTTCCGATCTCACAGGAATCCCATCTTAAACAGGTCTCTGTGCTAGAGTCCAAGGACTAGACAAATACCAATTTCAGTTACAGCCTGTGCTTCTGCAAACACAGACGCCACAAGCATGTCACCCCACCATCTTCTACCATGAAAAAAACCATCCAGTGAGGCAGAGAGGAAGGAAACCAGGTCATTTCCTTTGTTCCTTTCAGGATGTAAGACATAAACTGTTAGCAATAGGCAGTATGGGATTTTCCTAATGGTAACAAGAAGAAAAATGCTATGGAAAATGTACAAGGAAGTCTTCTATACAGGATTATAAATACTATTTTAAACAATTCTTGAGTGACAGCAATAACCAATTCTTTAAACAGATCCAGGAGACTGTGCAAGGATTCCTCTTTTCTGAAATCAATACTTAACAGCATATGTGATCCTTTGGTAAGTTAAGAAGGAACCACAGGAGAAGTGAAAACTGTGGTAGGGGTGTGTATGCTGGACTTGGTCTTATCAGCACTATGTGATCACATATGCTCCCAGTCTTCAAGAGTGTGGACCACCAGTAAGCCAACAAGAACATTTTAACTAAATACTGCAGAATGATTTCTTTGTTATCATAATGGCCTGTGACAAATGAAGTCCAATGCAACTACTCAAGCATGTCATAAGGAAGACTGTTTAGAATACCTCTTGCATACCAAGAAATATGGGAGTTTGGTGGAGAAGAGGATTACATTCTTCTCCAGACATACTCTTAAGATGGGTAGGGTGAGGGAATATCAAAGTACAGAGAAATTTTAATTCTAGGCCATTCCTAGTAAGGGGCGGCAACAGCTGCCTCCATATCAAAAGGCTGGCTATGCTGCTGATTCATTTAGAACGGAAATAGCTGTCACTGATTGAAGAATGTTATTTTACACGTCCATGGCTCAGAGTAATGCAGAAGTACACTGACTTCCTTCTCGTAGGAAACTAAGCAAGTCACTTCCACCAACCTAGAATGCAGGGATTTAACTGTTGTTTCCAAAAACAAACCTGCTACTGCTACAGCATTGGCAGACAGGCCAAGTCAAGATAAACCAATAGTTTAATACCTTGTATTCAGTGTTATCAACCTTTTTGATATAATTTTATGGCTTCTATTCTTTAACAGAGGAAATGCAATGTCCTTAATTTACTTTCTGTATTATCAAAAAAAAGAAAAGGCGTACTTGTGGCACCTTAGAGACTAACCAATTTATTTGAGCATAAGCTTTCCTGAGCTACAGCTCACTTCATCGGATGCATCGGTTTTATGCATCCGATGAAGTGAGCTGTAGTTCACGAAAGCTTATGCTCAAATAAATTGGTTAGTCTCTAAGGTGCCACAAGTACTCCTTTTCTTTTTGCGAATACAGACTAACAGGGCTGCTACTCTGAAACCTTTCTGTATTATAAAAAAGGCTTATGTACGTACATACACCCATTTTAGATGCAGATCAGTTTAAATAAAAGTATCAATTACAGTACCTCTGAGATCTTGAACTACTGGAACATAAGGAAATAAGAAAAGATGGGCCAAATAGGATGAATAGATTTAAATACTCATTGATATAACTTATAAAAACAATGTATACATTCTGAAATTCAATATATAATGCTTCACTGTTGCTCTATTCCCTTATCTTTCGTACTTATCACCCTCATTACTTAAGAAATTTGTAATGTCAACAATTCTATTTACCTTTAATACAAATTTATTGACTACAAGGGTTTTTTGTCTTTAAATATTAGTGACTTGGAAAAGTTAATGAAGAAAGGTTTGATGTTTTTTGACTATTCAATTGATAGATACATCTTAGAAAGTGGATGTTTGCTCAGGAACCCCTCAACATTTTTCACCAAGTTATTTTCAGTTGGGAAATAAGTTTCCCTTCTCCCCCACACAATCTGCCTTACTTTACTTACACATAAATCACACCACACACTCCAGCATCGATGCAATTCTGGTGTTACATTACAAAACACTGGTGAAAAATTGTCATGGGTTTGGCATCTTTCCACAGTACCACAGAAGTGCTTAGTTCTCTCTTCTCCTTTCTGCAGGTATGAATTCCATTGTATCACATAATGAAATATACCACACTCACAGTGTGAAGTTAAAGTTGAGCAGTTTTATGTCCAAGGGCTATTTTTTAAAAATATTTTATTTCAATTAAGAACACTAAACTCACCTAAAAAATATTCTAAATTACAATCACATTGAATCAAAAAGCAGAAAGTTTAAAATTAGCAGAAAAGTTAAATTTTAACAGAGTATATTGTTACTGTAGTATTTACATTGATTATGAATACCAGAAAACAGTGGCTTACACTAGAACAGAATGGGTCTGATCCTACCAATATTTACTAGCCATACCACTTATACAAGTAGCCATTTCACTGAAGCCAACAATATCACTTGCAGTAATAAGTACTACACCTGATCGAAGGCATTTCCACTGCCAGGACCCATTTATTTATACGGTTAATATTCAACACTTTCTCCATGTGGTATTAAGACAAATAATTCCGTTATATTAAAAATGTAAAGCTCTGATTTTTAGAACAGCATGTATAAATAATGTATGAACAAATCTAAAGTTCTGACCCTACTCATTTTAAATCCAGCTTTATCTTCTCCTAATATTATTTGTACAGCACCAACAGTATTCTAGACGCTTTCTTGCCATCATTTCACCATACAGTCACTGAGAAATAAGTCTTATAGAGCTGGTTAGCTAACTCAAAGACATAATGTATATTAAGTCATAAATGTGTTTCCTTCCTAAGCAAGCAACTACTGGTAACATTTTCAAAGAGTTATTGTATTGCGAAAACATATCTTCAAATGGTCTTGTAGAAGTTTGATCATCCACTGTCAAAGAAAAATAATTTTGATGGAAAAAAAACTAATCATATTTTATTCACCATAAGTCATCATAATACAGGGCAGGTGAGCAGATACTGTGCATGGGCTGGTAAAGGTTAGTGACAATTCTGCAAGACAGCTTTAAAAGTGGTGGGGGGAAAAGGCAAAAGACTACATTATGTTGTTCTATGCAAGAGAATCTGCATCCACAAAAATAAAAATGTTCTGAAAAGGATTGCAAATATTAATGTAACTGCCATGATGCTGTTTAGATTCTCTCCTACATGCTGAGAAATAATTTAAGACCTATAAAATAACTTTAAAAGGCATGTGTCATCAGCTACCAAATCAAGTACTAAGTCTTATTGTCCAGCTGTGGGCTCTACATTTCAACTTCCACGTCCCCATTTTCCCTTGCTTCTAACCTCAGATTATGCTTGATACTGTAATTTTGAAAGCATTTTAGGAATGCCAAATGGATCTGGAACTTCTTGGCTCCATTCACACCCAGCACTTCTGATTAAACTATGCAGTGCAGAGCCCAACAAGCAACAGCCAGGCCTTAGTCCCCTTCCAAAAAGATCTACCCGTTCCTTGTTTGTTTGTTTTTTAAAGTATTTTGTGTATCTTGTAAAACAGTCTTCAATAAACAGACTACAAAAGAAGCCCTGCCATTTTCTGAGTTCCAGTCAGACACACTCCCTCCCCTGGAGCCTCCAACGTGCTTTGGGCTTGTGACATTAAAAAGGCATCAGTGCTGCACACTTAAAAATTAAACCTTATTAAATCACACAGATATCTTTAATTAAAATCACACGATTAGCGACCTAGACACGGCCCAAAACCCCAGAAAGCCTGGAGGGGCGCTGCGGGGAGCGGGAGGGAGAGAGAAAGAAAAGGCATGGCTACTGGAGAGGGGCTTTTACTCGCTTGAGGCTCTCACACCCGCCAGGGAGCCAGAGGGGGAAAGAGGGACGGGCTGCCTGACACGGGCTCTTCTCGGGCAGCCCTGGACACCCCGCTCCGGGCAGGTCCCCCCATCACAGACACCCCGCCCAGGCGCCGGAGCCAGGGCGCAGAGCGGCGCGGGGGTGGACAGAGGCGGCCCGATGCAGAGCCAGCCCCACGCCAGTAGCAAGCGCCCCACAGGGGGGCTGCCCAGCGGCTACACGCGAAGGGAGGAGGGGAGGGGAGGGGAGGGGAGGGGAGGGCAGGGCCGGCCCGGGCGCACAGGGCTCCGGCCGCAGACACCCCCTTTCCCTCACGGCTGGGGGAGGCTCCGGCTGCAGAGACACCCCCGCGCCGACAGCGGGCTGCACTCGGCGCCCCGCTCTCCGCCCGGTGCTTACCTGGGCCCAACCCCCCGAGAGCCTTCGCCGCCTCCGCGCTCGCCCAGCTGCCAGGCCGCTCTCCGGACCGGAACCGCCCACTCCCTGCTCCTCCGGCATCCCACACGGCACCGCGGTGGCTCTCCTTCAGGCCTCTCGTCTCTATGGTTGTGCCGCTCACGCGGTGGGGAGGGGAGGGCGGTGTCAGGGACAGTGGAGAAGGAGGCTAGAGTGTCTCTCTCTCTCCTGCCGCCCGGAAAGCCGGCAGCCGGGGGCGGGGCCGAGCTGTGGGCCAGGCCGCTGGGCTCGGGGGCACGGCTGGCAGCGTGACACACCATCCTGCGGCGCGAGGGCAGCGACATGACGTCGCCCCATGACATCCCCACTGTGATGGCCTCGTGGGAGGCGGGCTGCAAAGCCCCAGGTGGTTTTGGAGCCCACGAATACCCTCTGGGCGCCGATCACTAGGGCTGCTGCAAAAGATTTTTAAATTGCGCTTTTCTGTTATTTGTGTTACCCTGGCACCTAGGAGCTGGAGCCACAGAGCAGGGCCCCCGTTGTGCTAGGCGCTGTACAAACACAGAACAAAAAGATAATCCCTGCCCCAAAGAGTTTACAACCTAAGGCCCTGATTGCAACAAGTCAGCTCATGTCTGCATTTCTTCATGTGGCCGATGTAACTGTAGAGCAACAGCTATAATTTTATGTTCAGATGGTAAAGCCGGATAATTGCATCTGGAGTAGCAGAGTGTATTGCTCCGATGCCTTTTTCGTATTTGTGAATTGGACATTGCGTTGTTACATGTTCCATGGTCTTCTGGGTGACCAGTGACAGACTGGAGAGTTTTTAATTTTCCATTTTTGCAGCAAGTATCCGTATCTGCCATGGTTTGTGCAGATGCAGTTGAGGGTTGTCCATGAGTGGAAGATGGCAGCCTTCACGTGGCCCACTCTGTTAAGTGAGAAATCACATCTAATACCCTCAACCCTGTGATCAAACATCGATCAGTGATCTCCAGTCTTCAGAGCAACAACTCAAGCCACCATAATGGCCCTCTTCAGGCCAGATAGGTTCTGGAACAAGGATCCTCCAACATAACCACTGAGGGACTTTCCCAGGCAAAGTACAAGTATCTTGCAAACATGTTGAAGACAATGACATCCTTATGCTCGAAGAAATCACATCTCTGATGACCAACAGGCTAGCCGCTACAGTATCCATGGTTACAACCTCACAACTAGCTGCCACTACTATCTGAAATATGGCCTAGTCATATATGTGAAAAACACCATCACAGATTTTGATGTCTTCCCTCCCAAGTGAAGAATCATAGGGACCTCGAGAGGTCATCTAGTCCAGTCCCCTGCACTCAAGGCAGGACTAAGTATTATCTAGACCATCTCTGACAGGTGTTTGTCCAACCTTCTCTTAAAAATCCCCAATGATGGAGATTCCACAACCTCCACAGGCAATTTATTCCAGTGCTTAACCACTCTGACAGGAAGTTTTTCCTAATTTCCAACCTAAACCGCCCTTGCTGCAATTTAAGCCCATTCTTTCTTGTCCTATCCTCAGAGGTTAAGAAGAACAATTTTTCTCCCTCCTCCTTGTAACAACCTTTTATGTATTTGAAAACTTATCATGTCCACTCTCAGCAGTAAGCTCTCGGGCTGCTGGAGCAGTGGCCCCTTCTCTTCTCCAGATTAAACAAACCCAATTTTTTCAATCTTTCCTCATAGGTCATGTTTTCTAGACCATTTTTGTTGCTCTTCTCTGTACTTTCTCCAGTTTGTCCAAATCTTTCCTGAAATGTGGCACCCAGAACTGGACACAATACTCCAGTTGAGGCCTAATCAGCGTGGAGTAGAGCGGAAGAATTACTTCTCGTGTCTTGCTTACAATACTCCTGCTAATACATCTCAGAATGATGTTTGCTTTTTTTGGAACAGCGTTACACCGTTGACTCATATTTAGCTTGTGATCCACTATGACCCCCAGATCCCTTTCTGCAGTACTCCTTCCTGGGCAGTCATTTCCCATTTTGTATGTGTGCAAGAAGAAGCCACCTACACCACTGCCATCAGGATAGGAGAGTTGCACATTATCAACATGTATGTCTGCACTACAAAATGCAAACAGGCTCTAACCACTTTGTAACTAGATCTCTCAGCACAGTTGACTTTGTAGTAGAGCTGATCAACATTTTTCAGATTGAAAATATTTTTTCTTGAAAAATGTCTTTATTTCTATGGAAACTTTTTATCATTTTCTATTTTCAAAACAAGAAATATCTGAAAATTGTTTTGTTTTAATTTATAAACATTTTTTAAAATCCCCTCACATAATTAAGCTGACCCAAAAACTAATTAAAAAGAAAATCTTATTTCAGAAGTGGAAAGCTATAATGAAGGTTAATATTCTGTCACAGGTATTTTAAGGTCAGGAACAGGAAAAGTCAGGAACAGGTCATGGGTAATAAACAAAAATTCACAGAAGCCCACAACCTGCCCCTGACTTTTACTAAAAATGCCCGTGGGTTGGGGGGACAAATAGAGTGATGCTGGGGGCTTACAACTGCTCCAGCCCCAGAGGGCTGACCCAACCCCAGCCGCTGCTCTGCCAGGCCAGAGGACCACTGCTCTGGCGGCCCCAGGGCTGGCCACTGGTCACTGTTCTCAGGACTGCTGCTCCATTGGCCCCAGGGCTCACCGCTGGTCAGCTGTTCCAGCAGCCCTGGGGCTGACTGCTAGTCAGCTGTTCAGATGGACCCAGGACTGGATGCTGCTCTGGTGACCCCGGGACTGGCCACCGGCCACTGGTCTGGTGGTCCTAGGGCTGGTTGCCAGCTGCTGTTCCAGCAGCCCAGGGGCCACTGCTCCAGCAGCCCGAGAGCTTACTGCTGGGCAGCTGTTCTGGCAGCCCCAGCGCTGGCTGCCAGACGCTGTTCCTGTGACGCTGGGACCATTCCTCTCTCAGCCCTGGAGCTCACCACCTCTCAACTGTTCCAGCAGCTCCAGGGCTGGGCACCAGCCGCTTCTCTGGCAGCACCAGTGCTGGCCGCCGGCCGCTGTTCAGGTGGCCTGGGGTGGGGGCTGACTGCTGGCAGCTGCTCCAGCCCTGCGGCTGCTGTTGCAGCAGGGTTTGACTGCCGCTGCTCCAGTCCCAGGGATGCTGACCCAACCTCTGCCGCTGCTTACACCCTGGGACCGCTGTCTGGGGCCCAGAAGAAGGCACGGAAGCCCCAGAAAAATCACAGAATCTGTGACCTCCATGACAGAATCATATCCTTACCTATAATTGATCAATGAACTATTTCAATTACAGATTTTGATTTGAAAAAGTACATTGCAACATGAAACAAAAATTACTGCAAAAATGTCTGATTTTTTCCTGGTTTTTTTTACCACCTCTATTTTGTAGTGTAGATGGGATTGTAAAACATGCTGCTTTCATGTTTTACAATGAAGTTTCCAGCCTTTCTGGTTGCAGAGATAACCTTCAAAATGTAAACTTCTGCAGTATTGTCCTTTGGTGTCTGCATGCGGCCAGACTACTGAAACAATAGCCTTAAAAGAGGTATGGAAGTCTCCTATTCATGAACTGTTCACTCTGCAGCCTAATTTAATTTACCAGTTACACACTAACATTCAGAGCTGATATTGTATGGCTGACATTCAATGTATTAGAAAATACAAATAAGCCCGCAAGTTTTGACCAGAAGAAGAGTATCTGACAGATTTTTGTTGTCACCAGCTAATACATATGCCTATCTGAGTTGCTACAATGGAGCTTTTGTAAATCCAGTACTCCACCATACAATACTTACAACGTGCTTTAATGTTCCTACTTTGGGTCACAACTTATACAGGATCAGGCTCAATGTAAAGTCCAAATAATTATATTGCAATCTTAAAACCATGTTTGCCAGATGATTCCCGAGACCCATCCATAGAGCCAGTGCAGTGGACACATGGGCCATGATGGCAGAATCACAGCTGTTCTAGGAAGAGGTAAATCCCGTCTCCAGTGGAAGTGGGGGGACCGCCATGAGGAAATCTTCCTGGGATTTTTATTCCTTCTTAGTCTTCTCCTGTGTATTTTATGGGAACAGTCTGGTCCTATATTGCTAATTAGTACTAGAAAAACATTCAGTGGCTATGGAATGTTAGTTTTATTCTCTATTCCCCAATCCTGCACAGACATACTCATGAGCATGAGTAGCTGGAGCACAGACTACTCCTTTTCAGAGAAGCAGTAACGTTATGTGTTCCCACCTGCTCTGTGCCATCATGTGCTATGCTGCCAAAATGACTCTGGGGGACACTCCCTCTAGCCAGCACCCATCAGCTCCTCCCTTGCACACCTTAAAGCAATAAAGGCAGGATTTTGTCCTGACTTTGCAACTTTCCCAACCATAACTTGATGGGGAAAATGTAATTTCCAACATCATAGAATCATAAAATATCAGGGTTGGAAGGGACCTCAGGAGGTCATCTAGTCCAACCCCCTGCTCAAAGCAGGACCAATCCCCAACTAAATCATCCCAGCCAGGGCTTTGTCAAGCCTGACCTTAAAAATCTCTAAGGAAGGAGATTCCACCACCTCCCTAGGTAACCCATTCCAGTGCTTCACCACCATTCTTGTGAAAAAGTTTTTCCTAATATCCAGCCTAACTTCCATCACTGCAACTTGAGACCATTACTCCTTGTTCTGTCATCTGCTACCACTGAGAACAGTCTAGATCCATCCTCTTTGGAACCCCCTTTCAGGTAGTTGAAAGCAGCTATCAAATCCCCCCTCATTCTTGTTTTCTGCAGACTAAACAATCCCAGCTCCCTCAGCCTCTCCTCATAAGTCATGTGCTCCAACCCCCTAATCATTTTTGTTGCCCTCCGCTGGACTCCTTCCAATTTTTCCACATCCTTCTTGTAGTGTGGGGCCCAAAACTGGACACAGTATTCCAGATGAGGCCTCACCAATGCCGAATAGAGGGGAATGATCATGTCCCTCGATCTGCTGGCAATGCTCCTACTTAAACAGCCCAAAATGCTGTTAGCTTTCTTGGCAACAAGGGCACACTGTTGACTCATATCCAGCTTCTAGTCCACTGTAACCCCTAGGTCCTTTTCTGCAGAACTGCAGGTCCAA